AACATACAATAATATAAACATTTAAAACATGAATCTTTATAATTATTATATAATTAATATAAATTTAATTAGCCAATTGATACAAAAATATATAGTATAATTTTTATTTAATAAATTATTTCTACAACCAAAGTTAAATATACTTTAAATTCATCATAATTAATTATAAACATCAATCTGTACATTTTCAAAATTTCTCATTTTAAATTATTCAAGGCAGAAATTTTTATTTGAAATAAAAAATTTTTACAATTGACAATTGGCAAAAATACTCACTCTTCCTTTGAGAGTTTCATTGAGAAAAATTATGCCGGTTGTATTGTTAATGAAGAAGGGTAATGGTGACTGAGGCTTGTTATCCCCGTTATAATCTTCCAGTCGTTCTAGACCATAAATTAAGTTATCCTGCTCGTTGTCCTTGGCGTGAACTCTGGTTATGATATTTCCTACTGGTTCGGTCTCCGAAAGTTTCCAATTTCGATAATCCAACCCTATTATAGGCGGTGTATTATCGCTCAATTGGCTTTCTGTAAATAATTTGTCAATGACTTTTTTGTAGAACTATCAAATTTTTCAGTGTTTCAATATTTTAAAACTTTACAAGTAAGTTTATAAATTAAATCAATTAAGATAAAGAATCCTATTTTTTGGTCAAAGCGAACCTTGGTACTTAATAATATTTATATTTTTTCAGTTTTTATAAATTGCGCGCCGATTTAGTTTGTCCGACTTGAAACATAATCATAAACTGAATCTAAAAGCTTTAGCTTCAATCGGCGCGTGATGTATAAAAAATGAAGAAATGTATTTTCAATAAATTGATATATGAATATTAAGCGCTTTGATCGAAAATAAAATATAGATTTCTAATTGTAAGATATATATTTTTAAGGTATATATATATATATATAGTACCTGTCAAAAGTTTAGACTCACCTCTATATTTATGCATTTTATATCAATAATCAACATTTTTAGCATCAAATGTTAGTTAAAAATTTCCGGTGTAAAGCAAAACGGTCGATGAATTAAAAATTACCATAAAAATAATTGAATTATATAACTTTATTTATATTTTAGACTCTTCAAAATAGCCTCCTTTAGCCTGCAAAACAGCTGTACATATTTTTGGCATCCTTTCTATCAATTTCTTCAAAGTCAGAGTGGAAATTTCAGTCCAAGATACTTGCAGGAACTTCCACAGTTGGTTTTGATTCATTGGTCTCATTTTTC